TAAGATCAGTAGATATTTTAAAGTCAGTGATGATTGCATTTATTGGATGGGATTAAAGTAAACAGGATACAGTAATCTTGTGTGGAAAATAAATGTAGGACAGAAATATATACCCATAATTATGATTTTGTTGTTCAGTACACATAAAACTATCTTGAAGTAATCATTGTTCTTCTTTTCTTGACTTTAACACCATTTTTCAGTGCATGGTAGAGTATACACAGTGATCAGTATAACTGGTGGCAAAAGAGCCTGGAAAAGTCACAGTAAAAACCATTTACCCACGGAAGCTACAGTCAGGCATTCCTAAATATCCACCTAACTGAGCACATAGATAGTGTAATAATAATAATAACAATGATAATAAATATTATGACATTTAGTGCATGGTATTTACTAATAAGTTTTAAAAAGAAACCTGTGCACAGTGGTCATCCCTTGTTCAATGACCAGTTTTGCTTTCTCCCATGAATGGCCACTGATAAGCAAATTGATTGTACTTTATCTTTCCAATTTTTTTTGCCTTTTAATTTTTATTATGTTGATTTTTTTTGTCTCACTTGCATAAGCCAACACTGATGGTTATTTTAAAAAAATATTTCTAAATGAAAGCTCTGGAGATTGGTTGAAATTTTGGGCAACTTAGAATCAGCAATTTTGATTAACTGTAGTAGAACTTATTTCTGGACTTGAACATCAAGGTTGTGGATACTACTGTATATACCCACTTCTAAGTTGATTCCAACTACAAATTGCACAGACCATGATCTGGGTCTATGTAGTTTGTTAAGAGTAGTCAAATTGCAGAGACCATGATCTGGGTCTATGTAGTTTGTTAAGAGTAGTCAAATTGCAGAGACCATGATCTGGGTCTATGTAGTTTGTTAGGAGTATTCCAATTGCAGAGACCATGATCTGGGTCTATGTGGTTTGTTAGGAATATTCCAATTGCAGAGACCATGATCTGGGTCTATGTAGTTTGTTAGGAGTAGTCAAATTGCACAGACCATGATCTGGGTCTGAATAGTTTGTTAGGAATATTCCAATTGCAGAGACCATGATCTGGGTCTATGTAGTTTGCTAGGAATATTCCAATTGCAGAGACCATGATCTGGGTCTATAGAGTTTGTTAGGAGTAGTCAAATTGCATAGACCATGATCTGGGTCTATGTAGTTTGTTAGGAGTAGTCAAATTGCAGAGACCATGATCTGGGTCTATGTAGTTTATTAGGAATATTTTAATTGCAGAGACCATGATCTGGTCTATATAGTTTGTTAGGAGTAGTCAAATTGCAGAGACCATGATCTGGGTCTATGTAGTTTGTTAGGTGTAGTCCAATTGCAGAGAACATGATCTGGGTTTTTGTAGTTTGTTAGGAGTATTCCAATTGCAGAGACCATGCTCTGGGTCTATGTAGTTTGCTAGGAATATTCCAATTGCAGAGACCATGATCTGGGTCTATAGAGTTTGTTAGGAGTAGTCAAATTGCATAGACCATGATCTGGGTCTATGTAGTTTGTTAGGAGTATTCCAATTGCAGAGACCATGATCCTGGTCTATGTAGTTTGTTAGGAGTAGTCAAATTGCATAGACCATGATCTGGGTCTATGTAGTTTGTTAGGAGTAGTCAAATTGCAGAGACCATGATCTGGGTATATGTAGTTTGTTAGGAATACTTCAATTGCAGAGACCATGATCTGGGTCTATGTAGTTTGTTAGAAGTAGTCAAATTGCAGAGACCATGATCTGGGTCTATGTAGTTTGTTAGGAATATTCAAATTGCAGAGACAATGATCTGGTCTATATAGTTTGTTAGGAGTAGTCAAATTGCAGAGACCATGATCTGGGTATATGTAGTTTGTTAGGAATACTCCAATTGCAGAGACCATGATCTGGGTCTATATAGTTTGTTAGGAGTAGTCAAATTGCATAGACCATGATCTGGGTCTATGTAGTTTGTTAAGAGTAGTCAAATTGCAGAGACCATGATCTGGGTCTATGTAGTTTGTTAGGAGTATTCCAATTGCAGAGACCATGATCTGGGTCTATGTAGTTTGTTAGGAATATTCCAATTGCAGAGACCATGATCTGGGTCTATGTAGTTTGTTAGGAGTAGTCAAATTGCACAGACCATGATCTGGGTCTAAGTAGTTTGTTAGGAATATTCCAATTGCAGAGACCATGATCTGGGTCTATGTAGTTTGCTAGGAATATTCCAATTGCAGAGACCATGATCTGGGTCTATTGAGTTTGTTAGGAGTAGTCAAATTGCATAGACCATGATCTGGGTCTATGTAGTTTGTTAGGAGTAGTCAAATTGCAGAGACCATGATCTGGGTCTATGTAGTTTATTAGGAATATTTTAATTGCGGAGACCATGATCTGGTCTATATAGTTTGTTAGGAGTAGTCAAATTGCAGAGACCATGATCTGGGTCTATGTAGTTTGTTAGCAGTAGTCCAATTGCAGAGAACATGATCTGGGTTTTTGTAGTTTGTTAGGAGTATTCCAATTGCAGAGACCATGATCTGGGTCTATGTAGTTTGCTAGGAATATTCCAATTGCAGAGACTATGATCTGAGTCTATAGAGTTTGTTAGGAGTAGTCAAATTGCATAGACCATGATCTTGGTCTATGTAGTTTGTTAGTATTCCAATTGCAGAGACCATGGTTTTGGTCTATGTAGTTTTTTAGGAGTAGTCACATTGCAGAGACCATGATCTGGGTCTATGTAGTTTGTTAGGAGTAGTCAAATTGCAGAGACCATGATCTTGGTATATGTAGTTTGTTAGGAATACTCCAATTGCAGAGACCATGATCTGGGTCTATGTAGTTTGTTAGAAGTAGTCAAATTGCAGAGACCATGATCTGGGTCTATGTAGTTTGTTAGGAATATTCAAATTGCAGAGACCATGATCTGGGTCTATGCAGTTTGTTAGGAGTAGTCAAATTGCAGAGACCATGATCTGGGTCTATATAGTTTGTTAGGAGTAGTCAAATTGCAGAGACCATGATCTGGGTCTATGTAGTTTGTTAGGAGTAGTCTAATTGCAGAGACCATGATCTGGGTCTATGTAGTTTGTTAGGAGTAGTCAAATTGCAGAGACCATGATCTGGGTCTATGTAGTTTGTTAAGTGTATTCCAATTACAGAGACCATGATCTGGGTCTATGTAGTTTGTTAGGAGTAGTCAAATTGCAGAGACCATGATCTGGTCTATATATTTGTTAGGAGTAGTCAAATTGCAGAGACCATGATCTGGGTCTATGTAGTTTGTTAGGAATATTCCAATTGCAGAGACCATGATCTGGGTCTATGTAGTTTGTTAGGAGTAGTCAAATTGCAGAGACCATGATCTGGGTCTATGTAGTTTGTTAGGAATATTCCAATTGCAGAGACCATGATCTGGGTCTATGTAGTTTGTTAGGAGTAGTCAAATTGCAGAGACCATGATCTGGGTCTATGTAGCTTGTTAGGTGTAGTCGAATTGCAGAGACCATGATCTGGGTCTATGTAGCTTTTTAGGAGTAGTCCAATTGCAGAGACCATGATCTGGGTCTATGTAGTTTGTTAGAAGTAATCAGTTGAACAAACAGTGTAAACCCAGAACAGCTAGTGCAATATGTGATGTCAGATCAGGGTCTGTTTTGTTGGACTAGACTTAGAATCAAGTATATATAATGCATCACAGGAAAGATCTTGATATAAACATTATATAGAGACATTATCATTTTATCAGGTGCTGCTGAATGTTTTTTATGTCTCTCTTGATTACAGAAAGAGGGGGTCTCCTTCAATGCATTTTAAGTAGGCAAATAATGTAAGAAAGTTTGCACAAAAACTATATAAACAAAGTCAATTTGTTACCATATATGTATGCATGTGCAGATGTTTTAGTTGAATTTTCTGATTTTAACTGTCACAGACCAGGAGAGTTCATGAAATGTCTTGTTATTTCTTGTCCTTCTATCCATTAGTTCATGTTTTTATCACCACTTTTATAAAATCACTTGGAGGAATACTGTGACACTTGAGATACACATTCATTCCAAGGTTTTGTTGGTCTTATATGATAATAGTGAATTGATGATACTTGTTCTTCCAGAATTATCACCACTATAGTGATGGATTTGAATATTCTTCTTGGTTTTACATTTTATGAATGGATGGTCTTATCAACCTCAAATTTTCACTAAATAACTTCTTACTATCATGTAAGTCCTAAATGAAATGTGCTAATCTGACATCCTGTAATGCCACAACAGCAGCCATTTTAAAAGCTGTTAAAGCTACTCCTCCTAAATGGAAAATCATATCACTAATAGTGTCTATCTGGCATATATCTCAAACTTGTAATTGCTACTACCCCTGAATGGATGACCATGTTAGCATGGGGTTGTGGTGCGGATGAATGTTTTTTCCTGGGTACAAACAATCACACCCGGTGAGAGTATAATGTAGTGTTTTAATTAAAAAAAGCTGTAATAACAAGAACCTAATGATCAGCATAAACTTCTCACATTTCAAAACATTTTATAATAATAAAATATTCATTCAAATCATGTCCTCATTTCATACTTGTGAAAAGCATTTTTTTGTAAGGATGTAGCCCAAACTATGGCACACATACCTTTACTATATCTACAGTATGTTAGCATATGTTTGCATTACACTTACAATCTTATATATGCCTTTATCCTATTGTCTTTATAAACAATTATATATAAAAAACTACACACAAATACTCTTTTCTTTCATTGATTGGAAGTGATGTGATGTGATTATGATTTTTTAATATAGATTTAAAAAATTTTCAGTCATATCACTATAGTGTGGCATTTTAGAGTGATGCCTAGCACTGAGACATCATGCCGCAGACATGTAGCTTGATGTCCCACCCAGTAACATTATCAGGACACCAGGCTAACAATTCCTAACACTAACCTCTTAATACTGAGTGCCAAGTGAGGCAGCTGTTAGTACCATTTTTGTAAGTCTTTGGTACAACTCGACCTGGGATCGAACCCACAATCTCCCACATCTGAGGTGAATGCTCTAACCACTAGGCCACTGGACCAGTTTGTTTGGAAGTATTGATGTTTCTGAGATAATGTTGGCAAAAGAGATTAAATGCTTCATGAAATCAATAAAATCCATGTACACTCAGAAAAGATGTATTTAGATGAATAAAGTTATTTTTTCATTTAAATGTGTGCTTACCGGCATAAAAATGAATTCAGTTAGATGGTAATATGTCATCACCAATATTTCATATTGTAGTTTGGTTTTGAGAAATTAAGCTCTGAAGGTCAAGGTCACAGAGACTGAAAGAAGCAAATGGTTCCCACAATGTTGTTACTTGCATACTAGATGCCTTGACAAAATTTAGTTATTGACTGGCATTTGAGTTGAGAAAATCACACATTGATTTGGGGGTCAAATGTCAAAGTCAGAGTGACCGTATAAGAGACAAATTGTTTCTGCATGACGCATTGAATTCTTTGTCACCTTCTTTGTGCAAACTTTGCATTTGAGATGGGGAACACACCTATTTAATTATGGTTTGAAGGTCAAAGGTAAAAAGGTCAGAAAAGCTTCAGACAGGAAAATGGTTTCCAGTCTGTGCCATAAACCATGACCAAACTTTGTGCATGGCTTGCATTTGAGTGAAGAAATTACCATCTAGTTATTCCTAAATGAAAATGGTGCAGCTAGAATGAGCAGTATGGTTACCATAGTATCCAGCTTGAAAATCTTATTATTGCTACTTACTTGGTATGAGGCAATATAGTGCTCTGTGTGAGATGGACATTTGGTTCTCCCCTCCCATCATTATAATAATTGCTGATAAGAAAGTTATTTTCTTAAAATTATCTAGGTTATGACCAAAAAAATATCTTTATATAATAAAAAACAAAGGTTTTGTATCATTTTAGCTCTTTTGTCTGATTTTTGCTTTTCTATTCTAATTTGGCACCCCTGTGAAAAAGATGCTGTGTGCAAGCAATTAATTCCAAGCAGACTTTGGATTATGGCTCACACAATAAACATATTGAAAAATATTCTCACCAATTCTCCTAAGGATGTTCCAGTAAACTATACTTGGGACACAATGGATGCAGTTTACACTTTTTGTATAGTTTTCATATGAACTGTTTGAGTAACCAGGGTTTTTTGGCATATATCTGTGAAAACAAAAAAAACCTTCCCTGGGTATCATGTATGCTTTAATGGAACAGCCCAGAATGTCTGGTCATATGGGAATATGATTTCTGGGTACCATGTATTTTTAAAAGGAACAGTCCAAAATGGATGGTCATATTGGAATAGGATTTCTGGGTACCATGTATTTTTAAAAGGAATAGCCCAAAATGGATGGTCATATTGGAAAAAGATTTCTGGGTACCATGTATTTTTAAAAGGAACAGCCCAGAATGGATGGTCAATTTAAATTAGGATTTCTGGATATCATGTATTTTTAAAAGGAACACCCCAGAATGGATGGTCATATTGAAATAGGATTTCTGGGTACCATGAATTTCTAAAAGAAACAGCCATGAATGGATAGTCATATTGGAATAGGATTTTTGGGTACCATGTATTTTTAAAAGGAACAGCCCAGAATGGATGGTCAATTTAAATTAGGATTTCTGGATACCATGTATTTTTAAAAGGAACACCCCAGAATGGATGGTCATATTGAAATAGGATTTCTGGGTACCATGAATTTCTAAAAGAAACAGCCCTGAATGGATAGTCATATTGGAATAGGATTTTTGGGTACCATGTATTTTTAAAAGGAACAGCCCAGAATAGATGGTCATATTGGAATAGGATTTCTGGGTACCATGTATTTTTTAAAGGAACAGCCGTGATCGGATGGTCATACTGGCATAGGATTTTCACCAAAATCTTATAATGGTGCCTAGTTTGTTCTAAATGACCATTGTGCTGATCTTACATCCAGTGTGGCTGCCTCGGTAGCTGACAAAATGATAAAATCTTATCACTCAAGAATAGTATATACAGTTTCAGTTTAAAAATTGTTTTGAATTTTTTATGTAAATTATTTTCAGGTAATAGCATTAACAACCCTAGATGTAGTGGTTCATAGCAACTGTACTATATGTATATTTTAAAAAGTGGGAGAGCAAGTCTATAATCATGATTACGATTGCTTTTATTTTTTGTGCCTTTCAGGTAGATACCAATTGGAACATTATGGTAGTAATATATCAAGCTATTGACCATCCATATTGTCCAATGGACAACTTGTATGTGAGAGTCAGTAGTCCTTGATGGTTATCCGCCCACACAAGTTTTTGATGAGGTAAGCAGTCTACCTTTTCTTGAGTACTCAGTAAGCATTAGCACACATTGTAACACAAATTTATTTTGAACCCTACTAGTCATAAACCAAATGAGCTTATGAGATGGTATTTTGTCAGTCCATCCATTAGCACAAGTTTGTTATTGCAATTGTTCCTAAAGGATTATAATGAAACATTATGCACACATTCATCCCATAGTCTGGTTAGTCCTAAATGGAAATGGTATGAATCTTGTATCCATTTTTGACCACTAAGGCAGCCATCTTTAAAATTCTGTTATTTTTACTCTCCTAAAATAGCATAAAAGGTCATAGCATAGAGTTTTTACTAGCTGATTTCTTAGCTGATTTCTTATAATGTATTGTTGTTTATAAAGTTGTACCAGTCTGACATCGGGTACAGTTTCCATCTTGAAAAATAGTGTTATTGCTACTCTTCTTAATTGGAAAATCATTTTGGCATGGGATTTTCATTAGAAGAATTTTTGATGGTGTCTGGTTGGTCCTAAATGATGCAAACTGACCGTCAGTATGACCACCTTAGCAAATATTATACCTACTTATTGCAAATGAATGACTAGATCAACTTGGGGGTTTTCACCAGCAGGCTTTTTATGTTATTGCTACTCATCCAGAATAAATGGTCATTTCAACGTAAGGTTTTAACCAAACATATTCTTATGATAACTTGTTGGCTTCTTATGAAAAAGGTGCCCTGCTGACAACCAGTATGGTTGCCACATGAAAATAATGTCATTCAAGACATCCAGGATGGGAATTTCAGCAAAAGACTTCTAAAAATGCCTTTTTGATTTCTAAATTATAATGTGCCAATCTGGTATCCATTATTTTCATCACAGCAGCTTATTTGAAAATTTTATTACTCCTGTGCAATAGCAGAGATGGTGTCCATAATACATGATCTTCAAAATTGTCTTTGGCCAGTGGAGTCTTAGGACTCTTATTGATGAATTGATTACAGTTATCTCCCTTGTAATTTTATATCTTGAAAAATTGATTGGATAAATTTCTTAAATGTTTACAGTTGCAACTGAGTTTTCCAAGGAAGTTGTGTCTTTGTAGAATGTGTACAAATAAAAGTGTAAATGTGCTACAGGAGTGCAATATTTGTTGAGGAAATTAGATGCCAATCCAACAAATTTAAATTTATTGCAAATTATTCAATATTTGCAACAATGTACTTTTTACAACAATTTGCAATAGAAGTTTAATTGAAAATAAATTTTCCTGTGGAAGACATTTTATTGAATACTTGATTAATAAAATTTGCATGTGGTAAATTTACTAGATTAACATATTTAGTTCTTGTAGTATTTATTAAGATTTTTTTCCTTTTTCATCCCAGAATGGTTTTGACTATGTCATGACTTACTGTGATGATCCACAGTCTGCATTTCCTTCTGTGGCATACAATTGGATGGCCAAGAAAGTTATGTACCTTTGTAACATAGAGGTTATTTGTTACCTGCAGCTGTATATGCCTTTGAAAACCTGCTGTACTTGGGATGTATTCTAAGATGCATTAATGTAGGATTTACTCTTAATTTTTAAAAATCAATTTTAAAAAAGTGCAGATATGTACATATGTTAAAGCCTTAAGTTTGGTTTGCTTTGTGAAATCATGCCTACCCCCTTTATTTTAAATATAGACTCAATCTTGGATTCCCCTCCTGTTAACATTGTTGTTGGCAAGTTTTCATTTTTGTAGTGATGAATTGGTGCTCCAAAGAATGTGACTATTAACATTGGTTTAGAAAAAACTGCCATTAACTGGTAGCCAGGAATTGCAAAATAAAGGTTAGAGGTTATATTAGATTTTCTTTTATTATCACCTCATCAGCAAAGTTGGAAAGAACTATAACCATTAGCCAATTATTTGTGTTAATTTGTTCATTTATACCCTGAGTATCTGGGATCCAATTTTACTTGCACTTGTGAGAATTGTATGTGGATGCATCTCAGAAAAAGATGTTCCTCCATATTGAAACTGTATGGATATGAATTTTGCTTCCTTGAGTTGCTTTTGTATTTTCACCTTTTCAAAACACCAGAGTATTTTTTATCCTAATACTTTGTAGATGACAGTAACTCTGCTGTACCAAAATTAGGTCAATTTGAGTGACATTTGTATTTTCAGCTCTTTGTTTGTTCTAACATCCTAAAAAAGTTGGACACTATTTTACCTACACTGTTGAAATTTTGTATGCATATACATTTTAATGAAAACAATTCATGCATACCACTGCTTGGTTAATGTAACCTAGTTTCCATGCATGATGATTGTATTTTCCATTTCTTCTTACAGCTATCTAGGATGTTATTTCACCTACACTATGTTGCATTTCAAATGAAATAACCGAAAATTCCCAAACTTAGGTCAGTGTGATGTTATTCTTGCTTGAGTAACATTTTAATTTGTTTGTAGCAACCTTTCATCACACCCTGAACATTATGGACCTTGTTTCACCTGCACATCAAAATTGATTGGTAGATGTGTCTTGACACGAGTAATTCGTCCATTCCAGAATTAGATCAATGTGACCTGATTATTATGCTCAATTGACATTTTGTATTTCCAACTGCCTGTTTGTTTACTTTCAATATCAAGGACCTTATTTTACATATACGCTTGAAAGTTTATGTACATACATCTTGTGGGTTAGTGGTTAGAGCATCCACCTTGGATGCAGAAGATTACAGGTTGAAACCCCAGCTGAGTCTAATAG